AATGTCCAAAATAATTTTTTTTTAAAATTCTTCACGGGGCGGGGCATCTCCGCCCCGCCCTGCCCCGCGACCCGAGACAGGGCAATGAACCTCGTCTTGCCCTGCCAACCCGTTCGGGACGGGGAAAATTGCTATCTCTATTGCCTCGTGTATTCACACCATTGCATTGAAGATACTTTAATTTACTGAATAAGAGTGTGCCCGTCTTTACCCAAAAGAATACAAGATTTTCAATAGAAGTTCCAAATTGAAATTTAGTCAAGTTAAATATAAGGATTAATGAAATAAGTAGCTAGGGTCCCTTTTTAGCATTGCTCTTGAAAAGTTAAAAATTATTTTTGAGACTAAAAAATTGTTTTGAACATGCCTGAATATTTTTTTTCCTGTCTGACTAGAAGAAGAGATTTTTAGAAAAAGACAATATAGATTTATCAAAAAACTCTTCTACATAAAAACATGGGAAAATTACCAAAAACTAGGTGTTAAGTTGTGATTTTTTAAAATTCAGGTTTAAGGTTTTTCTATCAAAAAATCAGGTATTTTATTATATATATAAAACCCTAAATCTATCCAAACCCTACATTAATCTATTTCATTTCTTTCCCCCCTCTCACCATCCGCCTCCACCACCTTTCTCTCACAACGGCGACTCATCCACGACCACCGCCTCCTCCTCCCCTTCTCTTTCCTCTCCTCCCTTCTCCTCACTGCCGGCATCGCACCGTCCGTTCCCCCCCCCCTTCTCCCTCCCGTCCGTCTTCTCTCTCTCTCACCAGTTCTCTCCACCGCCCCTCCTTTCTCCCTCCACCCTGAATGTGTAGGATTTCATGCATTTTGGGTGTTGATTTTAGTCCGTGTTGTTTGCTGTGTGTTATTTTGGGTGTTGATTTTAGTGTGTGAGTGTTATCTGCTGTTGGGTCCGGCGATTTGTCATGGTTTTGAGTTTTTCTTCATTCTCCGATCTTCTCAGCGGGGTTGGTTTTTGTTGCTAGTGATTTGTACATTGTGATGGTTTTTTGCAAATGTAAATGCTGAGGTGGTGGTCGGGCTGTTGGTGGTTGTGGCGTGGTATAGATAGAAATTGAGATGGTTGTCGAAGTGTTGAAGGCTGCGTGGTTGATATTATTGTTGGTGGATGGTTGTGGCGGCGGTGCCGAAGAGTGTCTGTGACCAAGTATTGGTGGTGGATGGGGATTGGGGACGGGTGTTTGGGTGTCTGTGACCCACTATACGATTCTCTGTGACTAACTATTAAACCGTGACCTTAAAATTCGATAAACTGTAACTAAAAATATAATCTATGACCTATAATTTTGTTTATCAGTGACCAATAAAGTCAATTNCTTGTGACCAATTAAAAATCTGTGACATAGAGTGTTGTTTATCAGTGACCAATAAAGTCAATTGTGACTTATAAATTTTTTGATCTGTGATCTCGAAATAATTCGTGACCAAATAATTTGATAAGCCGTAACCGAAAATTAATTTTTAATTAATTAATAAGACATCTGTGACCAAATTGTATATGAGTGTGACCTTAACAATTGCCCAAATCGGAGCATTCGTCGAAATTAAGCGACGACAGAACGGCTACCGAAAAAGTAGCCGGAGTAGTCGCCGGTCATCGGAATGGTCGTCGAAGTAGAGTGGCCATCGGAACTGTCGTCGGAATAGTAGGGGTGGAGGTGGGTTAATTATATTATATTACAATTAAATATTTAATTAATTAATAAAAACCTGATTTTTGCAATTTTGAATTTTAGCACCTTATTTTTGATTTTGGCAAAGTTAATAGTTGATACATGGATTTTTCCCTAAAAACGTAAACTTGCCTATCAGGCCCTCAGTGCTTGTTTAAGAAATCCTAAAAAGTTGATAAAAGTTGGATTAAAATCAACAATTAATTTGAATCACATATTTTTTGGATTCAAAATTTTTATCAATTTTTATCAATACATTTTTATTAACATTTTTCAAAAGACGTCAAAACTTTACAAGTACGATAAATCTAATAATATAAAAAAATAATTTCTTAAGCCCTTGTTTGTCTACCATTATCCAATTTTTTTTTCTTCTAAAACTCATTTTCATTCACACATTTTAAAGCACATAAACTCAAAATTTTTTCTCTATTTTTTTATAAAAGAATAATACTATTTGTAGTCAGCACATCCTATGTAACATCATGTTATTTGAGACATTAATTTTTAAAATTTTGTTGTCTCAAATAATAGACTAATCCTTTAAGAACTCATTTTTTAACGTCCAACAAACAGGGGCTAAAATTGTAATTATATGGAGGAGTCAAGTGAAAAAGAATAGAGAGATATCATAGAGAACCACATTCCACGTGGGGAACTGTAATTGGCTATCAATTTTCACTTGGATCACAATCCAAATGTCCATTCTCTAATCTGATATCTACCGTCCAGTTAGATCAACGGTCCTTCTACACCCTCCAAACTCCAAAATTCAAACCACCGCCAAAACTCCCCACCCGCCTCCTGCCCCTATAAATAAACTCCTCACCTGCGATGTTGCCATACTGTCTTCATATCTCTATTCCCTCGAAAGCAAAGTCCCATTTTCCATTCACATCGTTTGATGGCTCGTACTAAGCAGACTGCCCGCAAGTCCACCGGAGGCAAGGCGCCCCGGAAGCAGCTCGCTACCAAGGCCGCCAGGAAGTCTGCCCCGGCCACCGGCGGAGTAAAGAAGCCCCACCGCTTCCGTCCTGGCACAGTTGCATTACGTGAGATTCGAAAGTACCAGAAGTCCACTGAACTCTTGATCCGTAAGCTTCCCTTCCAGAGGTTGGTAAGGGAAATTGCACAGGACTTTAAAACTGACCTCAGATTCCAGAGCTCCGCCGTGGCGGCGCTGCAGGAGGCGGCGGAGGCGTACCTTGTTGGACTGTTTGAGGATACTAATCTCTGTGCCATTCATGCTAAGAGGGTAACTATTATGCCTAAGGATATCCAGCTTGCCAGGAGGATAAGGGGTGAGCGGGCTTAGATCTACTGAACCGCAGGGTATTGTTAAAGGGAAATTTCTTAGGAGTCTCTCTTTGGTTGGGTTATCTGTTCTTGTTGTTTTAAGGGTTTTGGTGTACATTTATTTCAGGTCATGGCCAATCATTTTGTAAACCACTGGTTTATCCACGAACGTTGGTGAATGTTAATGGAATCTTGATTTTACAATTTCATTTCTGCTCAAATATTCTTTTTCCGTTGTCTTTCCCTGTGGTTATACCTTATGAATGGAATTTGTTCTATAGATTGAGATATAATATATATGCACATATGCATTCATTGTTCATGTGAATTATTTTTCCATCTTTGCTTTGAGCCTCTTTGAATTGGGGCTTTAATGTTTACTGGTCTTTTGGTTTGGTTGGTCTAAACGAACGATTTGATGCTACTATGGACTGACTGCTTGATTTGATTCCATCTTGCCACGTATGATTGCTCCAATTGTGTACAGCTGACAATGGTCCGGCCTTGATTCAGCTACATTTCATTCTTTTGTGCTGTTATTTTTGAAGTCTTGTAACTTTTGAGTTCAAGTTTTCCCTTTGTTCTGCATTGGAGAGCTGATTCCTCCGAAGTTCATATTAAATAGCAGTCACATTGATCATAATGTTGTGTATAATAGGTTTTAATCTTTATCCTATATCCCCTATAGTGATTTTCTCTTGAGTGAAGAGTCATCTGCTGCTGGGCAAAATCCTATAAAGTTCAAAGTCTTTTGCCGCGATGGTTGTGATCCATAACTAATGTAGTGACTGCTGGGGTAAATTGGTCATGAAGCCCTGACATAGCATAGATTTGCTTAGCTTAATGAGAGGCCATTTGGGCTGACTTGATGCAAGTTTTACACAACGTCTAAAAAGAAGTCAACTTAGGAATGTACACTTAACGGGAATTCAAAAAATGTTGAGCGGACAAGTGTGTTTTTTCAGCACTGTTAAATCATGTGTTTGACACGTGGCACCATTTTAAAAAACATGTAAAACAAGATGTAATGTAGTATGATGATTGATGTCAAAAAAAAAAGGGAAACTAGGAATATGCATTGAGACATGCTACATGTACATAATTTTTAGTACATAGGAAATTATGTACACCAAGAATTATTCATATACATTTAGCATAATTTGCTCAAACAATGCATGACAACAGAAAAACGATACACATTTATTGAAATGAACAAAGTTACAAATTATTTTTGTGGAAACTAATGACTTGTTCTCTTTGTCGTTTTTAAATCGTTTTTTATTTTCGATTTTCTAAAATAGTGAAAATGCGTTCTCTTTCCTATTTTCGAAAATGTGTTTTTGAAAATTTTTTTTTGTACTGAAAACAGAAAATTGCATTTTTAACGTTTTGAACGTTTTCTGTGCAAAACACCCCAAAATTAGAAAACACGGGAAACGCTCAAAAAAAGCCCAAAATTGGAAAACACGGGAACGCTCTGAACCATCTCTTCCTCCTCTCTTCTTCTAATCCTGTCTCTGCCTTCTCTCTCTCGAACACTGTGATGTTTAACAAAATTTGAACAATAATTGATCAATTGAAGTTTTGAATATTTATATTTATTTGATTCACTAGGTATGGGGACAATGCTTATCTAGTTCCGGATTTATTTGATAATTCACAATTTATTCTTCACCAATATTCCTATTTGCACCNTGGGGACAATGCTTATATAGTTCCCAATTTATTTGATAATTCACAATTTATTCTTCACCAATATTCCTATTTGCACCCGCTGTTGTTCCCTTATATAGTTCCTGAATTAATTATGCAGCCACATTTAAGGAATGCTATAGAATATATGTAGGTAGTTAACAAGGATTCTGACGTAGCACTAGAAGCTTGTGAATTTTGGTAATTTCACCTTTCGCGCTCTGGTCTAGATTTTCAAATATCTTGGTAGCTGCTGCCTTTTAAACTGAGTGAAAATCTTTGCTATTCTTTCACCTTTTCCCTTTTGAGCTGGCTATTGAATTACCTAATGCTATTGG